CTGTCCCATACTTAAGTGGGGGCAGTTTAGTCTTTGTACTACTAATTAGAGGCTAATCCATATTAAGGGTCGACTGATAGGGTTTAGTCTATCAGGTTCGACTGTTCTCTTCTTCTTCTTCTGCTCTTCTCCTGGTTCGAACTACTGTAGCTACAGGACAAACATCTATCTATGGTGGTTAGCTTTGATGCCCAGTCCAAGGTTTGTTGATGTGGTTAACACATCAGCCAAGATTCTTTGACCTTCTCTTTCTGATGCAAGTGTTTGAGTTGGTACCAGCCATAGAGGTATGGTCAAGGTTTCTCTAGCTAGTTTGAAAGCAACACAAGAGAGGTAATTGTCATTTCTCTTTCTTCTAGGTTGGTGGGAAGGGAATGGATGAGGGACCATAGGTAGTTGGCTGGTCTGATGTGGAGAAGATCTAGAGAAGCTTCCAGAGATCCTGTTGGAGGAAATTCCAAAGGGAGTGGGTTGTAAGGATAAAGGGGTTAATGTAAAAGCCCTAGATGGAAAGGACAGTGAAATCCGTAATGTGATTAATGTTGGAGGTTACAGGGGTATATTTGTAATGTTGATAAGTTTTGGGGATATATGTATTTATGGGAGGAAGAGGGGCCTGTGTGAAATTCTGATATAATTGGGTGCTTTGCTTATTTAAGCCATTGGTTGTGTGAGAGTGGATATTTTGTTGTGAGGAGATTAGTCATCTCTTGTTCTCTTATGCTATGTTTGGTTTGAAGGAAAATGTAGGGAAAGGAAGGGAAACGTAGGGAAACCTTACAAACCTTGTATTGGTTTCCTTRTCTTTCCCTTCCTTTCCCTACCTTTTCCTTCAAACCAAACATGGCCTTAGTGGACATATTTCCCTCTCTTCCCGTGGATGTAGGCTACTAGGCCGAACCACACTAAATTTTGGTGTTTTTTTCTATTTCATCTTCCTATTTTATTCTTGATTTGCTATTCCTTTCCTGTTAGTTGATGATTAATTCAGAAGACTTTATTTTTTAGGATGCCCGGATTCTCTGCTAGAAGGAACATGAGATTAGTCTTGTAATAAATTAGTCTGATATGGCATCATTCCCAAGATTTATTGGGGATTGAGTGTTCAGTGGTTAGAGATTCTGATTGGCAAGTTAGGGGTGGATTTGGGTTGAGTTAAAGATGGATTTCAGGGTGTCAAAAATGGTGACTCAATGCTGAGAGGATAATAGAACAGGGTGGTGAGGTTGTTTCCATGGAAGCTTTTAGTTGCACTAGTAGTTGATTCAAATGCACCAAAAACCATCAGTTGGTGCATCACTAATTTGTTTTCAGGGCTGAAGAGTGGTCTGTGTGGGTCAAGCCCCTGTAAGAGGTTCAAAAGATAATATAAAAGAAAAGGGAACAAAGGACAGTTCCATAAATTATGACAACCTTCTGTGCAACATTCGCTGATTATAAATTCTCTAGATTAATTTAACAGTTTTGGGTCAAGGGGGTTCTTTAAGGGCTGAGCTACTGGCCGTACAGCAGGGTTTGTAGTTGGAAAAATCCCTAAATTTTAACAACCAGATTGTAGAAGGTGACTCTCAAGTTGTTGTAAGAAGCCTATGGGCCAACAGGGAGAACTTGTTTGGGGAAGGATAAATGGGAATGCTAATGTATTGAGTTAAATTGCTGATTCAATCTCAATGATGTTTTGGGTGCAAGCACTTCCGCTTTGTAAATTAAAATTTGTTTCAATTAATAAAGTAAAAGTTACCAATCAAAAGAAAAAGAAACTAACATTTAGGGTCTAATGAAGAGATACTGAGGTTGGCAATATATGCAGTAGTTTCAAGCTTTATTGCGATGATTTGATGAAGAATGTTTGCAATAGCTTGGAATCTGAAATGTAGATAGACTCGGACTGTGGAAATGAGGTTGGGGATGTACCAATTAACATAGTGTTACTAAGCAATAAAATTTATTGAGATTGAGAAGGCGATTGAAAGAGAAATCCAAGTGGGGAAGAATTTGGGAGTGTTAACTATAGGGGGCCAAGAAAATATATTTTTTATGGAGCCAGAAGAGAAAGAATTGAGCATCCTTCATCAAATTGGGACTAGGTATTGCAGATTGTGGGGGTTGAGTTGTTGGTGGTTAATAGTATGGTGTTGGCATTTGATGGGTGTACAGAGGGTTGAAGATGCTGAGGTATAAACATGTTAAAGGGGCCTTTATTCGGGTTATTGCCTTGTTTGATTTTATTGGGTTGAAGTCTGTTTTTGAAGATATTTATTTTGCTTTTCAGGTGTTATGTTGGTTGGGGAGGTTGTTTGCCTTTTTTTTTCAATCTTGCATCAGGTGGTTTGTTAAGTGATTTCATTGGTGTTTGTTGTTTTGGGAGTTTCAATAGGTGTGTGTTTGTTTTACTGCAATATTCTGTTTTCTCCCCTCAGGTGTTATCATATCACCAGCTTTATACTCTCTTTTTCTTCATGAATTTCTCTTTTACAACAAAAAAATCTCCTGCTAGGGGCCATGATTGGCCAAGTCCTTAGCAGATGATCTGGTTTTTCTTTTTTCTGGGCGTGGGGATGGTGGAGTTAGGACTAATGTCGGGATTTCAACCTTCAAAGAGATACACACTTATGATAGTGTATTTAGTTTGTTAGCTTATCACATTATTAGTTTATATTTGGTTTGCCTCCATCAAGGTTCCTTGGTCTAGGGATCTCCCTTAGGGCCCCTGATGATTTTATCTTCCCCCATTTTTCTGAAGGTTGATCATCAAATGCCTTTTTCTTCTTTCTTTCTTGTTGAAGGCCAGTGAATTGAGGCTCTACTGTTTCATCAGCTGAGTTGTGGATCATCTTTTTTTTTTCATTTTTTTTCAATTTTCCGTTAAGGAAAATCATTTATGATGTGCATCCTTCTTAGGCTCTATTATATATTTATTGTGGTGATCCGGTCACTGGTCTCAATGTCAGATGCTGTTTACTTCAGTGAGTATAAACTGCTTCATCTTTTCCACCTACTGTATAAACAATTGATTTGCTTTAAACCTGAGCCATCTTATGCTTTGTTGGTGTTATTAAAGTTAGCTCTATTGTGGCATGAAGATACCACTACAGTTTGCCTTCTGATTCTTTGGAGCTTCATTTTCCATCAGTTCATCAACACTTTCATTATTTTATTCTCATCGTCATTATCATTTAAATGGTCAACCTCTCCCATTTATGCAGATAGTAAATTGGAGAACTCATCTAAAGTTTCCTGAAGAGGCAAAGCTATCTCCAGAAGCAAAAGACCTTATCAGTAAACTCTTATGCCATGTTGACCAGAGGCTTGGAACAAGAGGCGCAGATGAAATAAAGGTGCTGTGTGGTGTGTTCTATTCTAAATTCTTGGATTTTCTCCAGAAGATGGAATTGAAAATTGAAGGAATCATGTGGTTGGATGTTCTGCCAATTTCAGGCTCACCCATGGTTTAATGGTGTTGAATGGGACAAACTATATCAGATGGAAGCTGCATTTATACCAGAGGTCAGAGATGAGTTAGACACTCAAAACTTTGAGAAGTTTGAAGAGGTAATGCATACTTTAAAGTTTTCCTTGTGCTCTCCTCTTGTGGATCGAACTATTTAGAGGTACTCTATGTCACTCACCACATATTCTTTTTCTTGTGATTCTCCAGTCTGACAGCCAAACACAAGCTTCATCAAAATCAGGCCCCTGGAGAAAGGTAAGTATGTTGGTTACTGATGTTGTGTTTCTCTTCTGTGCACTTCAAGTGTTATATATTTGTTTAGCTGAGCCATCAAAAGTATTTCCATGATTGAAATCTGACCTTGACATGCCTTGGCAAAGGTAATATTTTCATGAGAGCTGGTTAGTCTGGTCATTATCTGCTACATGATCAGAAAATGGATGCACATGCTTGATTGGAATTTTTTATCTGATGTGGCCATCCTGCTGATCAATAGGATTTTACAGAAGAACCTCTTTATGTTTCTTCAGTTTTGGTCAACCAATCTCACCGTAATTTAAATCTTTACAAGGTTGGTGTTGGGAGTTTCCAAACCCTTTATGTTTTAACTTCTGCTCAGAATGATTATAGTTGCAGTTTACATGGGAAAGAATCTAAACAGCAATGTTTTGTTCTAGAATTAACAGGACTAAGTGGCACACTTAGTTGATGGGATAGCTCCATCCCACTTCCAATAAAAGATAATCACTTTTTGGCTTGAAAGGAAGAATGGGATGATTGACAAAATGCCAAAATGGTGCGTTTTAGCCCAGATTTTGTGGTCCAGAGTGTTCCTGAAAATGAAAAACTTTGTATCTTTCCAGGATGAGGAGGCACTTATCCATGGGAATGCTTCCCATGCCCATAGTATAACGAAAATTGCCAATTTACCATGTCTTTGAAGTCAGTTTGCTAATACATTAACCTATGCAGATTGGTCATCTGTTCCCAAATAACAACAAAAACAACATCCTTGTATATTTCCTTGTTGATGAAACATGAAATATGATCTTGACTGTTGGCTTTGCTGCTGATGCTGTCTTATTGAAGTTCTGAGTTTACTGATCTAATGCTGCAATTTATGCCTTCTCCTTTGCTGCAGATGCTCTCATCAAAGGACATCAACTTTGTGGGTTATACATATAAGAACTTTGAAATTGTGAATGATCATCAAGTACCTGGAATTGGTCTCTCTCTCTCTCTCACTCCTTTATCTTCATTCTTATTTGGTTCAAGTATAATTTTTTTTATCAGCATAGTAATGGGTAATTCCATTAATATGAAAAAGAAGACAAATTACCCCTTCTAGATTTTATGGGAGGAATAAATACAAACAGCCTCAGCCTGATGATAATTGTCTTAATCTTACTGGTTTACATTAATTAGTCCTTGGGCGGCTTGGGCCTGTAAGCTAACCCATATAATTGGGACAGGGATTAGTTGAATTGACTTGAGAGTCCCTAGGCCGGTAGCACCTGAACCTGCTCTTCCCTTTTCACTCCTTCTCCATCTGGGGAGTGCACTTGTTTGCTGACCTTTGAACTAATCTGAATGAGCAGATCAAACAAGCTGATAAGTTTTTTATTCATCTCATCTGGTGGATAATGATATGCAAACTTTATTAATATAGGTAGAAGAATGGTTTCTGTACAAGCATGGCAAGCATCCCCATGTCAGGCTGGATTGGATTCATGCCCTAACAGTCCCAAAATATCTGATCCCTATTTACTCCCTGTTTTGGCAGTGCGTCCGCTAAGGTGTTTGCTGATCTATGAATCCATGAGAACTTAATTCCATTTTCTCTGTCCAAATCCTTTATATCTTTGACTGTGTTCTACTAGTGTCATGATCCTAAACTGTTTTTGTTTAACCAGATCATTACGACTCTAGAATCACCTTCCCACAATCCAAAGGACTTATCCTTGGAGATTTTGCCAGTCTCAGTCCCTGTGCCAATGCAAGCAATTCAGATCTTGTGGAGTTTCCATAACCTATAGGCCCTGAGTACATAGAATAAATCCATGGCAGTCTCTAAAAACCCCTCTGATACCAGAAGGCCCTGGGTTGCCCAAACTGCAGCTGTCATAGTGTAATTTAATAGGACTAAACAGAACAGAATGGTGAAGTAGGATTCATGTAGCCAACCCCAGATAGTAGGGATAAGGATTAGGTGATGATGAGGAGGAGGACTAGGTGGATACTGGGGGACCATGGGCCTTCTGTAGCTCCAAACCATCCTATTGACAACTGTCAATCTCCAAGGTGGGAAAGGATGGGAAGCAAAATTTTCTTAAGAATAGTACCAATGCAACTATGCAAAGTAATCCACCAAAATAAACAGTTTTCCATTGCTAATGAAACCAAAAGAAAGGAAAATAGGGGAAAAAAACTAATACTCCATTGTTTTACCATCAATGGAGTGTGAAGTGGTGGTAAGGGAAGTGGGGAAGTTACCAGAAAGGATGGAGTTTCTTCACAGATGCTTGGTAGGTCATTTCATTCACTCAGATCCAGATACAGTTGATGGGCAAGCTCGAATGGTGCAGGCCAGGTTTTTCTTTCTGGGTAAGAAAGCTAAATGGGTTATTCCTTTTTATTTTCAAAAGAAGAGGAGATGCAGAGAGTGTTAGAGGGAAGGGGATCTGCAAAATTTTATTTTATTTTTATTTTTTATCAATAACTGAAAATTTCACTAAATTTATAAAAGAGAATTACATAGGGTACATAAATTGAAGGAGATAAAACAGCTTACCTTCAAAATCAAGTTAATTACAACTGAACCCAAAACATTTAAGTTCTCTCAACTCCTTGTTTTTCCATAGAATTAGCCATGCTTTTAGCTGTCCTTTGCACCCATCGAATTTTAATTTCCATTTCCTTAGTTCTCTCAACTGAACCCAAAGCATGGGTTTCCTCTACTACTTCCATCAAAGTTGAGTTTAATGTACCCAATATCCGGTTGAATCCAAGGAGTAATAGACCTGGATTTCAAGAATGAAGTAAGGTGCAGCTCCTGCCACTTCCTCATAATGTCATCCACTGAGAATTCTGAGAACAAGTACATGGATTTTAGCCAGAGAACCACCCTGATTGTTATACATGCAAGATTTCTAGAACTGAGATTGGATAGGTAGGTGCCAGGGATAGGGCAAATTAACCTCTCTGAGAAGAAATCATATGTATGAATTAATGTCTATGGGATTCCATTGCATACTTGGAGTACCAAACTTTTAAAACCATTGGAGATACATGTGGCAAGTTCTATAGACTTGACTTTTAAAACAGGTTCAAGTGCTAAATTCAGTTTGTGAAGATTTTGATCGAAATAGGGGATTTGAAATCGATTCCCATGTGTATGGATTTTTTCTATGTTGAGGAATGTTTTGAGCTTTGAATTTGGTGGAAGGTCTTGATGCAACATTGGAGGTTGAAAACGTTAAAGGGGATAATGGGAGGAAGAGGGAGAGTGCAAGGGATGAAATGGGGACGGAGCAGGGGTGGGGAACTAAACAGTTGAAGATGAAGAGGGGGAGGGAAGAGGTTGAGGACGAAGTCCAAAGGCCAGGCTTGTAGAAGGGTAAAAGGGTATTTTTGAAGGAAACAAAGGGAAGGAGTTAATGGGCTGGCCTACAATGGTTAATGGGCTTAAAATAAATGGACTGGGAAAGGGGGAAAATAATAGTGGGTACTTTTATGAGGTAGAGAGGCAGAAGGTTAGGCCAGGAAATGAATTTGTGATGGGTTGGCCATGTAATGGACGTTATTGGGTTGGGGGGGGGATCCAAAACAGGTTGACATGTGTTGGGGAGGTCCAAAAGAGAAAAGAGCATGCAACAAGGATTGAGATACAGGTAGCCAACAAGGAAGAAGATGAGCAAACCGTAGGGATGAAAGGAAAAAAGATCCCGTGATACAGGTATCAACCCGGCTGAGGTTCTCGAAGGAAAGAGCAAATGGAGTAAGTCTTCATTCTGTCAAGTGCTTGAAATAGAAAGGGGGAGTAATATCAGGGGAGATTTGAGGGGAAGAACCAGAGAAAGGGGAAGGAACAGGACAAGATGGAGAGCCCATAAATTTTCTCGGGGGTTGCTCAAAAAGGGAAAAAAGGATTTAGAAGTGGAAAGAGAATTTTTACAAGAAGGGGAAGGGGAATCAAGTAGGATTGAAATGGTAGAGGAAATTAGCATGAGAAAATTGCAATCTTTATATAAAGAAGTCGTAAAGCAGAAAAGAAGGGGAGAAGAAAAAGTGTTAACAGGGTCATGTTCAAAGTTTTTTAATAGAAAGAGAAAGAACAGAACAAAACCAATATAGGAGAGTTGCGAATGTAGTGGTAGAAGAGGAGGGTGGAGAACAG